AGAATTATAAAGCTGGCTGGGCGCTGTTGCAACCTGTGGCTTGGCGAATGAATGAGGGGGTGAGTGAGTGGGTGGATTAGTGGGTGAGTCGGTGAGTGAGTCAGTCGATTAGAGCGTGAGTGAGTGGATGGGTGGGTGAGTGAGTGAGTCGGTAGGTGAGTGAGTGGTTGGGTGGGTGAGTGAGTCGATGACTGGGTGGGTGAGTGTGTCGATGAGTGGATGGGTGGGTGAGTGGGTGAGTGAGTGAGTCGGTAGGTGAGTGAGTGGTTGGGTGGGTGAGTGAGTCGATGAGTAGATGGGTGGGTGAGTGGGTGAGTGAGTAGTTGGATTGGTGGGTGAGTGGATGGGTGGGTGAGTGGGTGAGTGAGTCGGTAGGTGAGTGAGTGGTTGGGTGGGTGGGTGAATCGATGAGTGAGTGGGTGGGTGAGTGAGTCGATGAGTGGATGGGTGGGTGAGTGGGTGAGTGAGTCGGTAGGTGAGTGAGTGGTTTGGTGGGTGAGTGAGTCCATGAGTGGCTGGATGGATGAGTGTAATCGTTGTTGTGACCTGCAGTGTGGTGCTGATGATGGTTGAACACAGTGTGATGGATAAGGCGAAACAGAGTGTCTGGTCGACTGAGGAATCAACGAGTCAAGTTCACAGAAACAGTAACTACGATAGTAGTGATATCAGACCAATAAGGAGGCGACTGCCCAGCAGTGATTGAATGAGTGATTCGAGTGAATCGATGAGTGCAGGATCAATCACCCCTTGACTGCTGCTCTCCTCTGAATTCCATCAGATGGTGCAATGAGCTCGGAACTGGATGCTCCAGCCCAGATATCACAACCGTAGGATGCCGTTTCTGGCCGAGTCTGTGCTCTGTATAGGAGCAGCAGTAACTGTTCAGAGTCAAGGCTTTAAATGATACAAATATCCCCTTTTTTACACTCACCTTTTCAGGAGGGTCCTGCTTCGGGATGCTTGGCAGATACATTTTTTAGTTGAAAGTAAGTAAACCAGAGTGAGGAAATGATAGTGCAGTGCTTAGCGCAACTCCGGTATTAACTCAGTGGCCTGGCATTGATTTCCAGCAACTACCGCGAGACAGACGGCCAAACCACAATGCATGCGACAACGCCTAGACCACAACTATTGGACAGGCAGATCGCGTGTTATGGTGGTGGGGAGCGGTGGTGTGGTGGTTAGCGCGCTGCGCTACGAACCTGGTGAGCCGAGTTTGATTCCCGCTCGCAGGCAAACTCCCAGTGACGATTTTCTGAACCGACCCTGGACCTTCCCTCGACCTCAAACGAGTACCTGGTAGCGCTGTGTAAAGAGAGAGAGAGAGAAAGAGAGACACACAAACTCCAATATATACAGTAGCAGGCGTCAGGGTCGGGATGGAACCCACGACCTCCTGCATACCAGGCGAGGTAGTTAACATCTCCTAGCCAGCGTGGTTTCGTGGGGAGCGGTAGTTTAATGGTAAGCTCACTGCACTACGAACCCCTACGACTCAAGTTACATTCCCGCTCACGTGGGCCTCGGCTAGGTTGACTCAGCCTCAAATGAGTACTTGGTGTGGTATGTAAACATGCCCACTCGGGAGATAAAGGCGGTTGGGCGTTGTGCTGGCCACCCACCCCTTCTTGTGCCGTGCCGGCCTTCATAGGTGCTCGCTAACAGCACTTGCCCCAACAGTCTGTTCAGGCTATACGGGGGATCTTTGTCTTAGTGGTTAAAAAATCGCGGTTACTCCAACCCGTTCCAAAACGTTCGTGCAACGTGGAAGAGTAGGCTACAAAATAACCTCTCCGAAGGGCTTTTCGAGACCAGAGTCGTCACCTACCGACTCACTCACCCACTCACCCACCCATCCACTCACCAACCCACTCACCACTCACCCATCACACCCATCACCACCACCCACCCAACCCTCACTCACTCACCCACTCACCACCCATCCACTCACCACCCCACCCAACCACTCACTCACCCACTCACCAACTCACCCACCCATCCACTCACCCATCCACCCAACCACTCACTCACCCACTCACCCACCATCCACTCACCCACCCAACCACTCACTCACCCACTCACCCACCCATCCACTCACCCACCCACCCAACCACTCACTCACTCACCCACTCACCCACCCACCCAACCACTCACTCACTCACCCACTCACCCACCCATCCACTCACCCACCCACCCAACCACTCACTCACTCACCCACTCACCCAACCCATCCACTCACCCACCCACCCAACCACTCACTCACTCACCCACTCACCTACCCATCCACTCACCCACCCACCCAACCACTCACTCACTCATCCACTCACCCACCCATACACTCATCGACTCACTCACCCACCCAACCACTCACCTACCGACTCACTCACCCACTCACCCACCCATCCACTCACCCACCCATCCACTCACGCACTCACTGACTGACTCACTCACCGACTCACCCACTAATCCACCCACTCACTCACCACCCCCTCATTCATTCGCCAAGCCACAAGCACTGGAGTTAGTAAAGCAATTGCAGTGCTGCGCCTTGTTCGACGCCACAGTGGCTGGGTGGGAAGCTCGAAAATGCCTGTAAGGTGTTGACAACGAGCGGGTCAGAGGAATACTCTCTGCCCAGATGAACCTTTCCTCCACCAGTGGTGGGAGCAAGGCACTTACAGGGCCGCGCCTTTGCCTACTTGGCTCTGACGATAGCGGCGGTGGAGTCAAAGAGACGACAAAAGCCCCGATAACAATCGAGGGGCGCACAAAACGTTGGCTTCCTCCGATGCACGATCGGTTAGCTCTCCGTAATATAAATCTTTCAAAACGCTATAATTTTAGCCAGAATCCGATGGCAATCTACGTCGAAGCAACGCGAGCCAGGCGGTCCGCTTGTGTTTTGTGTTTCTAATCCTGGGAATTTGTATTTTTTTTAAATCCTTTATATTAAGTTCACTTGCTTGCTTGCTTGCGTGCTTACGACCGTGCAAATCTTTCGGTCGTTTTTTAACCCACTTCCCGTGATCCAATCGAGCTGACATTTTGCACACAGACTCGTTGTGCGTGACAATTTATTGTCGTGAAATTTTTTTCCAAAATTTTCAACATTTAAAGAATTTTTTTTTATATTTAATTACCAATTGCTTAATGGTGGCAGGCAAATCATCTGACCCATAGGTGGCAGCCATCTCAAGCCAGAGGACGAGATGACTCTAGCCGCCACGCATATAAAGGATTTATAGTGAAAAACTTTGTTTTTACGGGTTAATTTTTTCTTTTCCCCGTGAGCTGCTGCATTCAAGGGGTGCCCACCGCCCCCGGGGAAATCACTCGCGACTTACTGGACGTCTGCGCAAAAGAGCTTCATAGCTCTTCAGATTCATCCAGTCTAAAATGTTCTGATTTTGATTGGAAAGCGGCGTCCCATGGGGGGGAGGGGGTGGGGGGGTGAGACCCAGGTCGCTTGACTCTGGAGCCAAAGTAGTGAAGGAGAGAGGAGTGTGGTGGTGCTGTCACGACCATGGAAATCCCTTCCATTGGGGGGTCATGGCTAGGGCCTTCCATTGGGGGGTCACGGCGAGGGCCTTCCATTGGGGGTCACGGCTAGGGCCTTCCATTGGTGGGGTCACGGCTAGGGCTTTCCATTGGGGGGTCATGGCGAGGGCCTTCCATTGGGGGGTCATGGTTAGGGCCTTCCATTGGGGGTCACGGCTAGCACCTTCCATTTGGGGGTCACGGTTAGGGCCTTCCATTGGGGGGTCACGGCTAGGGCCTTCCATTGGGGGTCATGGTTAGGGCCTTCCATTGGGGGGTCACGGTTAGGGCCTTCCATTGGGGGGTCACGGCTAGCGCCTTCCATTTGGGGGTCACGGTTAGGGCCTTCCATTTGGGGGTCACGGCTAGCGCCTTCCATTGGGGGGTCATGGTTAGGGCCTTCCATTGGGGGGTCACGGCTAGCGCCTTCCATTGGGGGGTCACGGTTAGGGCCTTCCATTGGGGGGTCACGGCTAGCGCCTTCCATTGGGGGTCATGGTTAGGGCCTTCCATTGGGGGTCATGGTTCGGGCCTTCCATTGGGGGGTCACAGCTAGTGTCCACCATTGTGGAGGTTTTGGCAGCCATTGTTGTGATTCACAACAGATTTTTGTTTGAGTGAAGCCACCTCGTGGTCTCGCCAGACAAGCGCCGTATGACCCTCCATCATCCGAGACGGCCAAACAAATTAACTGGTCACGCGGTGAACAAGCGGTGAGCTGAAACAACAACAACAATCAACAACTGGCGCCTCGTGAAACACTTTCACGGCGCCGCTATTGAATGTTTGACTCGTGGCCAGGTGGTGAAGGGTCATTCGGCACAAATGTAGCTAAATATTCACAGGACCTAACCCAAACATCTTTTATGAATAATTTGTGACGATGATGATGATGATGATTCTATTATTTATTGATATTGGTGTTGGTAATGATGATTGTAATATATACATGATGACGACAATAGCGATATTTCTGATTATGATGATGACAGCCAGCTATGGCTGCAGAGTTTTGGTAGTACATGTTGTTTACATCGTTTATTGTGAAAATTCGGTCACAGTTCCCATGATCACTGTTTCATTGCTTTTATGGCTTTATTTTGGTGATTTTCGAAAAGTTTTTTGGTTTGGCCATGTTTGTTTGTTGTAGTACAGAGTTAGACTGATGGCCTTAATCTAAGTTGTTTTGTGGTTGTTGTTGTTGTTTGACTTGCATCCCACTGGGACATTTGCACAGGGTTGGTGTACGGTGATTTTTCTGCAATATTTTGCCGTCTTTTCTTGGATTTTCTGTTTGCACTCAGTCACATAGTCACTTTAAGATGTTTTCTTGTTCATGTTTTTATTTTTTGTTTGTTGCGGTTGCACCCGATTCAAGAGCCGAATGGCTCACAGAGCTACACCAAGTAAATGAACTTTGAACTTTGACGAAAACTACATCTCTCTCTCTCCCACTCTAGAACATGGCGGCTGGCCTTGAGCTGCAGTGCATTCTGGGGGCGGCCATGATGCTCTGCCAGGTCGCCTCGACGATGGGCGGAGCTCCTCCACCCCGGGGTGCAGGAGGAGGAGGCTACATGGAGTTGCCGGGCCAGTACAAGGGCCCCCTACCCAGCAGGGACAAGCATTACGGGCGCGAGCAGTACGTGCCTCTCGGTAATAGCACCACCAGCACCACTGCCACCAACACCGCCACCGCTATTGGCACCTCATTTGCCAGTAGCCAAATGTGATAATTGGTTATGACGCATCTCCTTTACCAGTGGCAAAATATAGTGACAGGTTTCGATTTAAAGCTTTCGTGACTGCAGGGATTCATCTTCTTGGTTCTTTCGGTAAAGTCACGTAGAAGGGAAGTAATAAAATAATAAAAATATTATATTATATTATTATTTTATTATGTTTTATTTTTATTATTTAATTACTTCCCTTCTACGTGACTTTACCGAAAGAACCAAGAAGATATAGTAATAGCAGGGGCGGTTTCTTCATTAGGGCGATTGGGCGACGCACCACCAATGTCATTGAACCACAGAGTCACGCTAGCCGTCACTGCAGCCTCTGGATATAGTCCAATCAGCGTCATGTCACGTTCTGTGGAGTACCGCCTCTTTTGGGGCGATTTCACTCCGGCTGAGAATCGCCCCGAGTGGCCCCATAGACTTACATTGAAATATGTTTTTTTTCGAACGGGGGCGCTCCAATGCATTCTCTATGGCTCCGGGAGGGCAAGCCCTAACGTGCTTACGTCATCATACGTGCTAACGTCATCATACGTGCTTACGTCATCATACGTAAGCACGTTTCATCCAACAATATAATTTATCGCTACCTAGTGGAATCTTTAATAAAATAAACTTGAGTGGTTTGTTTTAATAGTGAGTATATAAACAAACAAGATGTATTGTAAGAGTCACTTTATTTTTCATTAATATTAAAGAAGTGAAGTTGCCTTTACATGCTTAAGCTGTTGATTTATCCATTACATGGGTGGACCTTATCCTTATCAATCATCCAGACATTTGCCCCCCCTGAGAGATTTTGCAGGAGCCGCCACTGAGTAATAGGTATTTACCCTTTCAACTAGTACTGGTGTAAATGCTTACCCCGAGCTCTCAATACTCTGATAGTGCACTGTTTTTGAGTCGTACGCCTTTTGGCGTCATCTGGTCCAACACCAATGGAGACTAGGCTCTAAGAAAAGCTGTCTCGGGTGTGGACCAATCAACTTCAAGGACAGTGCATATCATTATCATCATCAGAGTTGTTTCTTTTTGTTTGCATTTTGATTGCTTGTGTTGTGGTTATTGCAAACATGATGCCTTGTATAAAGGTGTCAGTTTTTGTACCAGTTGAAAGGGTTAAAACCTATTACTATGATAATTTTTTTTTACCCTTTTATCTGGCAACAAAACTGACACCTTTTTTACAAGGAGTCATGTTTGCATTGACCACAATACCTGCAGTCGGAATGCAAACAAAAAACATAACTCTGATAATGTATGCACTGTCCTTGAAGTTGATTCGTCCACACCCGAGACAGCTTTCCTTAGAGCCTAGTCTCACATGGTGTTGGACCAGATGACGCCAAAAGGCGCACAACTCAAAGACAATGCACCATCAGAGTATGAGAGCTCGGGGTAAGCATTTACACCATTGGAACCTCATTTGCCAGGAGCAAAATATGATAATTGGTTTTTAACCCTTTTATCTGGCACCACTTTTTAACTATTCCACTATTTTAGTTACCATGTTAAGGCCCCAACTGAGTTACTATACGGCTCTTTTTTAGAAACGACCTGGCTATCACAAATTATAGCTCAACGAAGTGGCTTATCGTCACGTGGGAATGTATAGTAGCAGCCCAAATACTCTCAACGCATGTTGATTCTAAGTGTGGAGGGGAAAACCCGGACGACAATTCACGCGACCACGGGGAGAACACGCAAACTCCAAATATAATGGCGTCAGGGTAGAGATCGAGCCCACGAACTCCTGTATACCAGACGAGGTAATTAACATCTGGCCACTATGGTGCCCTATCACCATGCACCGCCACTACTACCAACACCACCACCAACAACTACAGAGACTGACCACAAAGTGCCAATAACGTCACCACGTGAAGTGTCGAAGGCATGTTGGCAGGTCACGGAACATACCCAGGTGTTGTGGGTTGAATCACTGAGATGACTGGCACATGCACCACTTGTGCCTCCTACTGTTCCAACTTGCAGTGTTTTAACTTATCCGACATTCCGCTCGTTGTGAGCATCGCTCATCTGTCCTCCATTGTTGTTGGAGGGCACATGCCTCCAACTGCCCGGAAACATCCTTCACAGGCCTCTTCCACCGCTGGTACTAGTCATCAGCAATTCCACTCAGCTCCACATCCCATTGCACCGCATCAGACCATCTCTTCTCCAGCCTCTGCCATGTCCAATGAACCCACTCTATCCAGCCAAAAAAAACCTGTTTAGGCATTTGGTAGCTGGGCATGCAGGCTACATTCCCCAGCAAAAGCAGCCTTGCCTGCTGGAGAAGCTCATTGCTGAGAAAGTGTCCAGATCTTTGAAGGATTTGGATCGTAGGCAGACCAGCCTGAATGTTTCTAACCAGCGCAGATGTTCCATCGACAGTAGCCGAGAAGATCCGAAACTTCTCGTGGAGCGACAGGCCAAGAAGCTCCTCCACGTACCGAGCAAAGTGATGTTGAAGAATCCTTGCCAGGACCCTTTCCGGCACACTGAGGAAGGATAGGCCCCTGTAGTTGTTACAGTCTGTGCAACCTTCCAATCCTGTGGAACCCATCCAGTAGTCTAAACTGTTGTAATTATGTCATATATGGCAGTCTGCACACAAACACCACCCCCACTCAGGAGTTATCTTGGGAAATCATCGCTGCACGACGCTTCTCCTGGTCTCAGTTTCTGGGTCACCTTCCGAACTTCCTCAATAGATGGCACCTCAACCAGCCACTCACAGGGGGTGACTACTTCTTACAATATTTGAGGCAACGCAGCCTCAGCAGGGCCATTCTCGATCTTGCCTCATCATGTTATCTGGGCTGAGAGATTTCTCTTCTCCAAAGACTTCACAGAAATGCTCAACAAACCTGCAAACCTGTTCCTGGTGGTCAGAGATCGGAACCCCATTCTTTCCCGTGATGGTGATAGGTGTGGCGCTGCAAGTTACTTTTTTGATGGAATTAAAGAGTGTTTTTGTATCGCGGATTACTAAGGCAGATTCCATCTCCCCAGAAAACCATGAGCACCACTTATCCTTGCAGCCCCGCACGGCTCTCCGAACCTCTGAAGGCTGCGGTAAGCTTCCTCATTATCCAACATGGGATTATGGAGACGGAGGAAGTGAGCCTATCACTTTTTACAGCTAACCGGAACATCTGTTCTGTCAGCCAGGATATCTGGGGAGGTCTGGACTGCTTACCCAAAGCAGCCATTACAGCTGCACGGGGCACAGTCCTAAACCTCGCCCATTTCCCCTTGGCATGAGGAGAAGGGACGATGCCAACCCCAGCTGCAAGCGATGATTAAATTCTCGCTTGCAACTTTCGTCAGCTATTTGAGGCATGGCCACTGTGGATTAGATGGACACCCACCACCGCAGTGGAAGAATGGCAGGCGCATCTTACAGATGCCAAGCCGATGATCAGTGAGCAGATCAGCTCCACAATAGGCCCTGGTGTTCAAAGATAGAGGCCTGCAACCGCTGTTCCGTCACCATGTAGTCCAGCTGATGTTCTTGCTTGGACCCAGTGTGCATCTATGATGTTGTGTGGATGCGCCGATGCCGGAACAGCGTATTGGTAATGACAAGCCCATAGGCTACAAATAAGTCTAACAGCCTCCTACCGTTGTTATTGAGCTGATCCGGCACATGCCTTCCAATCACGCCAGCCAAGGTACCTGCATAATGATCCACTTGGGAATTAAAGTCACCCAACATGATGACTCTATCATGAGAGGCCACTTTACTTAACACCTGGGACAAGAGGTCATAGAAGGCATCTGACTCATCGGCCTTGCCTGCATCTCTTAATTGATGTTTATCTTCGTGGAGTCATAAGCCTCCACCACCACCATTCCTCACCTCACCTCCTGTTGATGGGGAGGTGAGCACACAGTAGCCTGGGACTTACAGTGTCCTACACCTTACCGCCACTCTCCCATGCCACCTTCATTATTTTGTTTGTGAGAAGAGTCGCTCCATATTCTTTGGTTTTTTCGATAAAGTCACGTAGGTAAAAAAATAAAATAAAAATTAAATAAAAATCACGACGTTTCGGAGGCAACACAAGCCTCCGTCTTCAGGTGAAACCGTCACAGCACGCTCGCTGTATCAAGTAAAAATAAAAAATTCTACAAAGATCCAGGCGGTACCGGTCCAGCTCCTGGTAGCCTCTCCTCCGCATCAAGCATAACAGCATTTCACGTGGCCACTCACAAGTAGCTTTTTGCCATTTCTGGAGGAACCCCGAAGTAGTTGCGGTTTCAGTCTCCTGCTCCGCTAAACGGGGTTTGGCCAGGAGGCGTCACAGAGAGGCGCCTGTCCCCTCGGGCCCTCCGGCGCAAGCTTCGTAGTTTCGAGGTAAATTTAATTGAAGGTGGAGGGGTCACCAGCCCCTCGCACCCATCCAGAACCCCCGTTGGCTGCTGTGGTGGCTACAGCACCATGACGGGAACAGCTAATCGGAATCAACAGATGTCATCGTAGATGTGGGGGTTGTTTTTGCCGGACTACCACCGCCACTACCACCACCACCACCCCCCATGACCACCACCACGACCTCAAAACACACTGTAGCTCTCATGTAATATCAATAATCACACTCGCAATGGCATTGGACACACGTCTGTTATCTTCTTAAGGTTACATATTCACACAAAAAGTGACGAGATCACCAGTAGCACTGCCTGATGAGCCAACTTAAATGAGAGGCAATGTTTCGGGCAATTGCCCTTCTTCAGCGTGCATTGTTTTTTTTGTGTTACGTGAGATTTCAATGAAGTGCATTGATGCCAGATGTCGGGATCAAAGTCTTGACACCAGCTTTGGGGATCGGAGACCAGCGTGCTGATCATTACACCAACATTATCATCAGCGGCAGCAGCAGGATCTTTAAACCATAACAAAAA